ACCGACATGTGCAATATTGCAACAGGGTATACTTTTTAGTGCAGTATATTGGGACATGGTGTATTTTAGGGCGCAAAGCGGTTTGCGACAGGGTCAGGTTTTCAAGGTCCCCGAGACGAGACCATGTGTTAGAACGTCAGCAGACGTTACTGGCACGTCAATTCACACCTATCTTACTTGCCATCGCTACAACAATGCAATCCCTCTCAAGGCGGTGAATACCTATTGCGCTTCCATATTGGCATTACCATTACCAATTTACCACTTACCATTACCATTAATATAGGCATAACCCAGTTACCATTACCATTAACATAGACATAACCCAATTTCCATTACCATTACCATTACCCTTAGCATTACTATACGGTATATCCTTAATAGTTGTTGATGTCGATGCTTTACCAAAAAAAGTGTTTAAAAATTTCCGAAAGCCTATAATAATACAGAAGACGAGAACTGAAAGAAAAACTTTGAATTTAGCGTGCCATTACAACATCAACAATAAAAATGCGTCTTTAGTTTCTCTGCGATGATCAACTGGTTAAATCAAACTTTATTTCGCGAACTTTATACGATGGGTTTCGTTTCTTTCATTTCGCGCGCATTTCCTTAAAACTCAACCCGAAACTAAATATCTATCGCTTATGCAGCCACGGCTGCCAACACGCTTCTTACTAACTCTGTTTGCGTGCTTCGGGTGATGATATATGCACGCATTTTATTTAGCCACCAGCCGCAAAGAAGCCATCTTTCGAACTGACTTCCAGTTATTGATTCTACAGACATGCACCACTTCCCGCCACGCAGTCACCCTTCTTACTACCAGCGCCACCCCACCCACACTCAAGACGCTTTAGATGGCACGTGCGATCGAACATTTTGGTGAATTAGTGGTGAAGAGATTTGGATCGATGCAGCTGTTAACAAGGTCGCGTTTTATCGCCGCTAACAAAACGGCTTCTTGTGCGTCCTGCAACGATATATTAAAACTTGGGGAATAGCGTGCCAGGGGAGGAAGCCTCTGAATGCCGACATACACGAACTCAACTTAACGCACAACCGAAAGAAACCCCGCGCGTCTCAGTCGTCCACAAGAGTCGAGTACAAGAGTCGAGTAGTAGAGGAATATCTCAGCATGTCAATCGCTAGTTTGCCATTGTTCCAGCTTCCCTCTGACGAGGAAAACCCGCCCTCCGGTTGTGTCCGCGAACATTACCATACACTCGCGCGTAGGGTGGCCGGTCTATAATCAGGCATGTCAGCCTAACAACCCAAGCGCTTGCAAATCTGTATTGATTCCACGCGTTCCCCGCCGTCTAAACCAAATGAAATCGAATGAAATTGAATATGGCCTAGCGCTAGATGGAAGTGAATTAGTGTATTTATTTGATGAAGTGGCAATCAGTGTTTGGTACGTACACGGCGGCAGGCGTGATGAGTATTTACACTTTTAATATAACAAAATAATGTGATGGTAACTGCTGTCCTGCATTTGTCTCCTGGTGTTCCCGATCACACGCCCACACGCACGCACGCGCACGTACGCACGCACACACAAACGCACGCATACACGCGCACGTAACGTACGCGCACGCGCGCGTGCACACGCACGCACGCACGCACTTTACGGCGCCGGGGTCTTGCGTGCCGATGTCCCTATGCACCTCTATGACTCTCGTCCTTCCCAGCCTCCTGCGCACCACTCGACACTAATTACATTAAAAGAAAGATGATGCGGCCGCCCGACATATTACCCCGAGCTTAATTAAGCTGAGACAAGAGCTATATGTGTTCTGATTGGCTGCCACTCGTCGTGGGGTTACGTCAACAGTCCCCTAGCGGCCAAAAGGCGCAATCATGAATGGTGCGCTAACGGGGGTGCCTACTCGAACGGGAACCCTACTCGAACAGCTGCGTAAATGTTATCATCGTTAAAGTCATCAGAGCCAAGTGTGGGCCGGGCTAATGAACGAGGCGGAATATGATAAGGAAGTAATCAGTGGAGATCGTGGGGTGGGATTGGGGGTAGTGTTGGTGGTAGTGGTGGTGGTGGTGGTGGTGGTGGTGGTGGTGTTGTTGTTGTTGTTGTTGGTGGTGGTGGTGGTGGTGGTGGTGGCTATGATGATGATGATGATGATGATGATGATAATGATGGCGGTGGCGGTGGTTGGCGACGGTGATGTTGGTGGCGACGGCGGCAGTGACAGTGGTGGTGGTGGTGGTGTTGGTGGCGATGGCGGCAGCGGCGGTGGTGGTGGCCGTGGCGGTGGCGGCAGTGATGGTGGTGGTGGCGGCGGCGGCGGCGGCGGCGGTGGTGGTGGCCGCGGTGCTAGTAGGGGTTTGGTGGCAATGCTGTTAGTTAGTGGGATTAGGGTTGGGATGTGCTGTTGGCTGTGCGAAACTGATATTTATAATCATTAGACATTGAAGAGACTAATGACTACAGACTACTTGACAGAGAAGATTAATGCGACTGCCACTGAAACGTGTCCGCTCCTTAATAACTTGAAAAATGTACAGGCAGCATCAAACTGACATGTTTTAGCTAAATTAGGAGGATGTTGTCTAAGGAAATGCTACATACTGATGATAAATTACCCATACTGTAATACTAGCGACACGACTACAGTGTACACGATGTGCATCCGTGTCTAATCCGTACATGAAACACGTCATCTTTCTCAAAGAGATATAAAGACAGCAAAATGCCCGAGTCATTGTCGCTGCAATTTTGAGGATATTTTTTACTTGTTTTGTAAGAAAACACAGAAACATATTCTCTTGTAACTTTTACTTTAGAAAAAAAAAATTCCCGTTTGCCAGTGAAAACATCATGTGATCTAGTGCAATGTGACCGGTATTATTACGAGATAATCTAAGAGTTAGCGAGCTGGTATTGGCAGTATCATAATACACAAGGCTTGATTCTATTCGGTAGACAAATTGCCAGATCAAAAGGAAACGTTTCAATATTGCACTTCGTACTCGCAAAATTGCGGAAATAATCTCGTATGCAAAATACAGAACTCAAAGAAACAGAATTACTATGATTAGCATTGATAAATCGATCGCGCAACGAACCAAACGTGACATTTACCATTACCGGATAACGATGCACACGAGTGCGATCAGAAGCTGCGCATAAACCTACGGCAAATTAAAATCGTTGGTATACGACTCTTGGATCAACGAGTTGATGCGATTTTAATTATCCTCTTCATGCGAGCAATTAGATGGCTGTGTCTCTTGATTTATATCCGCTTTTATTCGCATTCACGAGTGAGCGAATCCGCGGTTTCAGCTTCAACTCGCGTAAACTCTCGTTAGAGCTTTCGAAATAGCTCGTCAGAGAGAGAGACAACCGCGGCGAAGGCTGATGAACTTTACTACGCGAAGTACCTTCCATACAGATGACGTGCCCCCTAGAGACCGCCAAGTGCCGCGAGACGGGAAAGGTTTTAAATAGAAGGCGGGACTTCTTGCTTCATACGTTCACGCTGCGTTGACGCTACTCTCTACCTTTACCACAGGAAAGCGATGACTAGTTTTACCACCTCCCCCAACGCTACCTACCTACTAACCCCTCTTCCTTTTCAACGAATAATATATGCCTGGTTTCACTTTAATCTGGCTTGCTACCCCAAGGACCACACGCCTAATTTCACCTCTCTCTCTGTTACTTTCCATAGGGGAATACACGCCTGGGTTCACGCATGTATTCAATCAACTCTGTCTTGCTACTCCAGAGAACACACGCCGGGTTTCACCCCCCCCCCCCAATCGGTTACTTTTCCACGAGGGAATACAAGCCTGGGTTCACCCTACTATATGTGTTGCTAACCCAGTGAATACACGCCTGGGTTCACCCAACTATGTTTCTTTCTCGTAGAGAACACACGCCTGGTTCACTCCACTCTTAGTTGCTACCCCCGAAAGAACACATAACTAGGTTCACCCAACTCTGTTCCTCTACGACACGGGAATACGTGACCGATTTCTTTTTGACTCCACTCGTGTGTTGCTACCCACAGAAGACACATCCCTGGTTCATACTTCCCTCTGTGTTGCTACCACATAGAATACATTGTTGGTTCGATCGCACTCTTGTGATGTTACGCCAGTACTACATAGCAATGAACACGATTACGATTCGAAATTATGCAAACAAGCGACTTTCCGCTTTTACTGATCCCTTTCATGCAAGAATACTTTTAGCCTGATTGTAGATGGACAGTTGAACTCGAATGCCAGGTGATAACAGCAGGTTTACGATGGACGCAAAAGATTTAGATGTATTAACTCAGTCTGTATTAACTAAGTGACGCAGTGCACGAATCGATGCTAGGTCTGAATGATGCATGAGCGAGCATACAACCTACACGCGTCTCCACGGCTACACGGTACGAGCGCATGTTACTTTACACCCACACGAAAAACCGGGTACACACAGAAATATCAGCGCTATACTGCAAGCTGCTCGTACGCGTAGTTTTACATCGACGTATTTCGCAACGCTATCGATGACTCCAGATGCCGCTCAACGAAATCACTTCGTATATATACAAGTTCCTCGAGTCTTGATTCACTCGTGTCACTACGCTATCATGCGTGGCCAAAAGTTTCGAAGCTACAAATTACACGCGCGCGCGACACTCACCTAACGTACACACACACTCGCACGCACGCACGCAACACACACACACACACACACACACACACACACTCACTCACACACACACACACGGCAATCGTCGTTAATTCATCTAGACGAACAACTAACACAGACGCGACAGAAGATTCGTGCACAAATAGCAATCCCAGCACCACCGCCGCAACCGCCACAAAAACGTCGTTCGTCAGCGGCACGTTAATTTTATTTCTCAATATAGATCCCTCTCCCGACATCGGTGTGTAATCCCATATCAATCGTCGCCTGTTGACATTTCACTCTCGAACTCCGTCCGCGCGTCGAAATTAAATTAAAATCTCGTACTTACCATGAGGCCGCCTTCGCTCCGTGCGTAAAACACAGGTGGTGGTGTGACGGCGGTTTCGAAGTGCTTGAGCCACTGGAGGCAATCAATAGACGTGGCTAGGTCGATAGGCTGACACTCGCTCGCCAGTTCATCATTTGCGTTTGAACTCGAATATCGCCGATCCGGTTACAAATTCTAAACTCGCCCTCGTGAGGCTAGACCCACTCTGCCATCGCAAAAAACGATTAGGCCCGAAAGTAATATCCACGCGCGAACGGAATTAGTCACCTCCGGTCCCTACCGGTCGCCTGGTCCCGCGGGACCCAGATCGCGAGCGTGCGGGCTTACGCGCGCGTGGCGACGACACGTGTACGCGCAGCTACACAGCTTGGTCAATGCTTGGTCACGCACGCACGCACGCTGCAGCACGCCAGCCAGCCAGCCAGCTGGCACATTACGCATGTGTCGTTGACAACCGCCGCGAGAGCGAGCGAGACCAGAACCCGATGACAAGTATCTACGCGCCAACTGACAATGTTTATCCCCATTATTGCGCGCGCTCAGCGTGGCTTCCGCGCGCACGCACGCACGCACCCAGCAATAACCCAGCGCGTGCGCGCGCGTGTGTGTGTAAATATAGCAGTCGGCTGAAAGGGGTGGTAGGATATGTTTACTAGGCACTTCTAATTTTAACATATATTTTAAATTTAAATTAGGGTCAGGGTTAGGGTTAGGGTTAGGGTTAGGGTTAGGGTTAGGGTTAGGGCACTTTTTAGGGTTTTTGCATCATTCTTTAATATATCGTAAAATATATGTTAAAATTAGAAGTGCCTAGTAAACATATCCTACCACCCCTTTCAGCCGGCTGCGTAAATATAGGGCCGTGGCTCTCTATCCGCGCCCCGATTAGCATGTGAGATGGGAACGAGGAGGTAAGCGCGGATTGCAGTCACACGCACACGCGTCACGTCGCGTAATGTGCACGCGGCTATGGCTCCCACAGCGCTCATGTCATCAGCTGGCAGGGGCTTTCCCCGCGAGCATGGATTCCCTATTTTCGCATACACGCGCCATTATAACGAGAAAGCCGGTTATACCTATAAGCCATAATCGTGACGACGGCAATACGCACATAGAACATCGACAGATAGAGAGAGAGAGAGAGAGAGAGAAACAGAGAGAGAGAGAAAGAGAAAGAGAAAGAGAAAGAGAGAGAGAGAGGGGGGGGAAGGAGAGAGAGATAGAGAAAGAGAAAATGCAAGGGAGAGAGAAAGAGCAACAGAGAATGAAAGAGAGAAAGAGAGCGCGAGAGAGAGAGAGAGAGAGAGAGAGAAAAAAAGAGAGAAACAGAGGCGAAGCAGAGAAACAGGGCAGAGAGGGTGGCTCAGAGAGGGATGGGGAAGGGGTGAGGGAGGGAAGGACGGACGGACGGACGGACGGACGGACGGACGGACGGACGGACGGACGGACGGACGGACGGACGGACGGAACGAGGGATGAAGAGAGGAAGGGGGAGGAAGGACGGGCAAAGACAGAGGGAGAAAAAGAGATGGGGTCAGAGTTAGAAGAGAGAGAGGGTGGGGAGAGATAGAGAGAGATGGTGGGGAGAGAGAGAGAGGAGAGAGAGTAGGAGAGATGGGAGAGAGAGAGAGAGAGAGAGAGAGAGAGAGCAGAGAGAGAGAGAGAGAAGAGAGAGAGAGAAAAAGAGAAACAGAGAACGGAAAGAGAGAGCAGAGAGAGAGAGAGAGAGAGCAGAGAGCAGGGAGAAGAGAGAGAGAGAAGAGAGAGAGAGGTTGAGAGAGAGAGAGAGAGAGAAAGAAAAACGCAAGGGAGAGACACGAGAAACGAGAATGAAGAGAGAGAGCGAGAGAAAGAGAGAGAGAGAGAGAGCAAGGAGAGAAAGAGGAGAGGAGAGAGAGAGAGAGGAGAGAAAGAGAGAGGAGAGAAGAAGACGAGAGAAGAAGAGATGAACAGCGGAGAGAGAGAAGAGAGAGAGAGGAGAGTAGCGAGAGGAGAGAGAGAGAGCGAGAGCAGAGCAGAGAGAGGAGAGAGAGAGAGAGAGAGAGAGCAGAGAGGAGAGAGAGAAGAGAGAGAGAGAGAGAGAGAGAGAGAGAGAGAGAGAGAGAGAGAGAAAGAGAGCTCATGTGATACGCGCGCAGCGAAGCCACCCACCCACCCACCGCAGCACTCGGCCCAAGATTGCGGAAAGCTGCTCTCGGTCGTTATCATATCAGTTGACAGACAGAGAAGTCGCGCAGTATAGAGCAGGCGCCGATGTTCGCTCTCGATAACCCGCCTTTACAGTGATCTATATAAATCACTCACAATAGAGGAGGCGCGTACCCATTACTAACCGCGATAAAGCTGAATTATACATACATATATAACAGGGATATAGCGCAGGGCGTGAGGAGGCGGGGATGTTGATCGGTTGGTGAGAGGGTGCATAGCACGTGTGAGTGCGGACGTGCGCGCGCGCGCACGAGGCCGTAAATGAAATCAGTCGACTGTGCGGCCCCTATACTATGTGTGATTCTTCTCTCACACTGAAGCCATCAACGCCTGCTCGACTATGGATGGCACCGCCGCACTCGCTTCCTATTGCTGTCATCTGGCAGCCGTCGGCGCTCGCATCAACGCATTTCCTCCCGAGCAGCTATTTACTTTAGTTGGTGGAAACCGGCGCGACGAGAACAACAGAACGCGGTCACATCTGTGCGCTCTGATCTCGTCTGCTGTACACACGAGGGTGTGACACACCACAACGCATGGAATCGTATGAATGGGATGCAATGCTATATATAATATATATATATATATATATATACATATATATAACAACCAGACAGGTGCTCATGCATCATTGTAAGCGTCTGCTATTAAAATATATTCAAATGAAGCCATCTCGATGTAGTTTTATCTGTTGTGGGTACTGGGTAGACTACTTATCCAGAGTGCGTGAGCTGGGATGAGTTCTGCAGCAGCCGCTTTACGCTAAGTAAAGCTCTTATTTAACTAATATATATGCCATTAGCTAGAAATCGAATCAATACATGGTAAACAAGCATCAAACGTTGCCACCGGGAACAAGAGTATGAATGCATCTACCAGAGTAATAGTAATAATACCCCACTATAATACCCCACTATCGTACCCTGCTGATAGAAAACAAGCACATTCATTCCTAAATTTGCATAGAAGGATCCAGTATTGGGGAAGACATCTGGCAGCAATCGTTTTGTAACCAAGACTTTCCTGGGGATTTTGTACGTCGGTCCCTCCTCACAAAAACAATTTTAAAGGCCATTTTAAAGGTAAAAGGCTTACATAAAGGCACGACAACCTGCCAAGTAATTTCTTCTCTTTCTCTTCATTTAACCTTTTTTACTCTATACAGTATTGCAAAGTCGTATCCTTCGACGAAACTTGAAAATACGTTGGATTTGCGCAAACTTGTATTCATTACCAAGTTCTGCGTTGCCTCATGAATACACTGTTTGTACGGTCAAATTTTTCTAAATTTCTCTATGAATCCTATCTCGCGGACCATTTGCAAACGAAAAAGACCGAGAAATTCTTTACCTGCAGAATCGCTAGCCTGCCATACGATCACTACGCCAGTACGCCTGATACTCCCGTCACGCGTCAGTAATGCGATTAGTTTCGTAAGTAAATGCAATTACGTCGCTACATCTTCCACGCCGTCTTTGAGCGCCACAATTTTGACAGTTTGCGACAGTTTGTCTGCTGTGATGTAATAAACTGCATCGATTTCCTCACACCGAGCCGTACGAAATAGGCAAAGCTGACAGAGCAGAGTTTCTGCATAGAAACTAGGCTAGGAGGCGTTTCACATCATTCAAGTATCTCTGTATTAGGCTGTATTTAGGCATACATCATAATCCGCGTATATTCGTAGCAGACTGATATTCTTACAGACACATGCACAGACAAAAGGGTCAAAGGCTTTTATTATCCCTATAAAAAGGTAGAAACATTAGAGGCAGAGGAGTATGATTTTCGCTAAAAGAATTCGGTTGAAATTAGATATAAGAAATGTTTGTATCGCCTTATGAGAATGTACCATTGTATGACCGGTTGAAACTACAAATTATTCAATAGTTAGTGCTGATAGTAGTGTAATTGTTAGTAACATCCAGATGAGACGGGATACTAGAGAAGCGTTGCCGAAAGGAGGTGTTGACCCGAAGTGCTGAGCGCAGATCTTGCGTGCAGTTCCGCGGCAAGGCGCACGCGACCGCGGGAACGTCCTACGACAGTATGCGGCGCTGGCAGCTATGGACCCGGGCGCCTAATGCTTAGGCCGGCGCACGC